CTGCTGGAGGAGTCGCCGCCGCCGCTCGTACCGTCCGACACCAGCACCGTGCGATCGGTAACCGAGGCTGACGCGGCGCGGCGACTCTTTGCGGACTCCCCATCCCGGCCCGAAGAGAGCCGCAGGGATAGTCTTGAACGTGATGTTAAGGAAGAAGACGATTTGTTGCCAGACACCAACACTGTCGAGCAGCAGGGCCCCGAAGAACGCCGTAGGGTTAGTCCTGAACGTGAAGTTCAGGAAGAAGACGATTTGTTGCCAGACACCGACACCGTTGAGCAGCAGGGTAGGGACAGAGAGCAGACTGCTGGACCGGCTGGAGCCTCCACATCGGCTGCGGCCTCCACCGAGGTTGCTGAGGACGATGCTGACGGTGACCAAACGACTGACATTGTTATTGATATAGTCGAAGATTCGCAGAGTCCAAGCAAAGCCGCCCGTGCCGGGACGAGCACGGGAGTCCGGCCGACGGTCGTTGATCTCTCTTCTCCTGAGAAACAGCTGCACGTGATCAGTTCGCCTGTGAAGAGGCAGCTTGCAGGCAAGCAGGTCCGCGGCAGAGGCAAACGGCGGGCCACCGAAGGAGCGGTGTCGGCGGGAACATCAGAAGCCCGACAGACCGTGGAGGCGGTGGTCGGTCGGAGAACGTCCAGTCGGCGAGTGAAACCGCCGGAGAAGTTTTCACCGAGCAAGCCGGACTCTGGTGGGAAGCGGCGGCGCAGCGACACGCCGAACCTCGCTGACTCCAGCAGTAAGCGGCGCCGGGCGGCGGCGGCACCGGTCAGCAGAGGCGGGCGACGGCGGACCGATCCGCTGCGGCAGGACGAGGGGGCCGCGACAGTCGGCCAGGAGGAGCCGGGCCGCGCCACGGACGGCGGCGAAGTCCGTCCCTCTGGGACGTCCAGTTCAGCGGTGTCGGTCCGCCCGGCCGTCGTGCCTGGCCTCGGCTCTGCGCTGACCGGGGAGCAGCCGGGTGCGGCCCCAGCGTCCCGCCGCAGCGGACGGCAGACTGCCGGTTCACGGGCTCGCGGCCGCGGACGTCGGGTCGCCGGTGCGCCAGACCGCGTCACGGAACCCGGTTCACCGGCTCACAGCACGGAACCCGGTTCACCGGCCCGCCGCACCACACGGCGGGCCGCGGGTTCGTCGTCCCGTAGCACGGAACGACCGGCCGCCGATTCACCTGCCCGCAGCACGGGACGCGGCTCACCAGTCCGCCGCACCGGGCTGCGAACCGCCGGTTCACCGGCTCGAACCACAGCTGAACCCGGTCCACCAGTCCGCCGGACAGCATGGCGCACCACTGGTTCGCCAGCGCGGAGTACAGGACACGGTTCACCAGCTCGAAGCACTGGACGGCGCACCACTGGTTCACCAGCTCGCAGCACTGTATCCTGTGCACCGGCTCGCAGGACCGGACGTCGGGCCGCTGATCCCCCGGCGGCTGACCGCCGGCAGCGGCCGTCGGCGGCCCGGCCGATCATCCCGGTCGTCATCGACTCAGACAGCGCCTCAGAAATCGATCTCACGGCCTCCTCGCCCGAAACCGTCTCGTCAGCGGCGCAGAGCCGGGGTAACCGCCGGACCAGGGCCTCCCACAGACAGGCCCCCGCCGCGGCAGCAAAGCGGACCAGCGCTGCGAGGAGGACTGCCGCCGCTGCTGAGTCGTCGGCAGACGCGGCACACAACCGTCCGAAGAAGACAGCACGGGCCTCACGAGGGGCCGCCTCTCATTTAGGTGAGTATCGCTGGTGTATAGGAGGAAACTAGATCGAGATCGACACTGCTAGCACCCGTCAGGTGCTCTTTTGCATTGGAGAATACCTGTGGCTAACGTGCTTTTGTCCACACTCTGAGTAGGGCTGCTGTAGGTCTGTTACTGCTGATACAATTCTTAATATTGTCCATTAGTGACATTAATATGGTGAACAGAAAATTAAACTACATCATGGAGCTTTTTTGTCTTGCAATGCGATTTTGTTACTTTATCCCGTAAATCTGATGAAATACTCATTGATTGTTCTAGACTCGCCTTTGGATGAAACGAGGAGCATCGCTCCGTCAACTATTACAGTATCGTCTCAAACGGTGAGGAATTTTACAGTGGATAAAATGAACACTTCACTTACCTCCCCAGTCCCCATTCATCCAGTCCGGGATCTTTCACCTCACTGCATCGGGCACTGGTGACCGATTTCACTGGTTTGGCAACGGATTCCATTGGATCTGGAATATGAATAGGAGTTACTCCTAAAATCCCACTGTTAATTAAGACATTCTTTTGTTTAAAGTTTTGCATTGTACACTAGTTCTACTAGTCATTGGTACTACAAGAAAATCTGTTGTATTCCATAATTACTCTATACATCCGCTTTGCGTGGTTATATCCCACGCATAAGTTTGAGGTATATGGTGGTATCATTTAATTTATGATCGCCTACATTTTTTTTTTTTTTTGGTTGTTGCTCTTTGGGTATGACAAGACCTTTTCAGAGCCGGAATGATGATAGGAATTAGAGGGAGACATTGGTCTGGGCAGGCACCCTAGTGAGTCACTGGGGCTGAGCTCGTCCCAAAGGACAAGCCGACCAGCCCTCCAAGTACTCAATGCACCCGGCTACGGGTGTGTTCCTTTGGGAGTAGCGGTGCCGCTCCAAGGGAGCAGCCCGCATGAGATGAAGTTGCCTGTCCAGCCCGGATCGAGGGTTGCGGCGTGGAGGAGAAGGATTTGAATGTCCTGAGGATGGAAACGATGGACGGGGATGGACATTCTTTTCATTGATTTTTCAAGTTATCGCGCTTTCGCTCATCAATTTGTATGCAATTTTAACCACTTGTTTCAGCTTGGCTCGGTTCAATTGAATTGTGTCTACCTGTATATCTGTCCGTCTTCGTGCTCGCCCTTATTGTCACAATTTTATGTCTCTGCCCTTCTCTGTCGTGCCGCCACTGACAGCTGTTATGCCGCCGCTGACCGCTGTTGTGCCGCCGCTAATCGCCGCTGTGCCGCCCGTCCCGCTGTAGTGGTGCGCGACGCGCGTGTGCCCCCGCTGACGCTGTTGTGCCGCCCGTCCCGGCAGTCGGTTCGCTCCGTGTCGAGTTCGGGCCGCGGCGTGACGCCCAGTAACCACCCCCGCGTCCTCTTCACCGGCTTCGAGCGCGACTCGGCCGACGAGCAGATCGTCAAGTCGCTGGGTGAGTTACCGGTCGCAGATAGTGGTGAAAATGGATATGGGGCCTTCTGATACCCAAATTATCATCAGTGAATGTTTAAATATCACAGAAGTAACTACTCAGTGAATTGTATCTCGGTACAGCTGAAATTTTGGTACGATTGCACGGTGCTTAAATTTAAAGTTACATCGTCGATACGTGTAACATAAGAGGAAGCTGCCACCCTGTTCAGCAGTAGTGCTTGAATTTTAAAGTTACATCGTCGATGTGTGTAACTTAAGAGGAAGCTGCCACCCTGTTCAGCAGTGGTCATTTCAGCACTCATCGGTTGAATCTACATAGAAAGCAGATTTTTCCTAGATAGAGATGTCTCTTCAATGGCAGCGCAGTGTCTGGTGAGGTCCTACCATATCCACTTATGCAGACTGACTCTACCTGTCTCCGGCAGGGGGCACGGTGGTGGAGCGGCCGGCTGAATGCACGGTGTTGGTCACGACAGGCGTGAAACGCACCATCAAACTGATGGCCTGTTTCGCCAGGGGGACACCGATTGTGACTCCCGCCTGGCTGACAAAGTCCAAACAAGCAAAGTGCTTTTTAGGTGAGTGTCGCCAGCCTGATCTGTGAATTACGTGATTTGGGTTTGACGAATCAAGTTAACTTTGGCGGGTCAATTTAAACACTAATATCTGACAAGAAAATACAATTTTAATGCTTTTATCAGCTCACCTCCTCTCGTTTTGACCGACAACGTGTTGCTCGGATGACCGTGGGCTTATCTCTAGATAACTCGGTTTTGGTTATCTGCTGACCACGGCTGTAACTATCTGCAGACCTCATTGTCGGACTTTTTCCGCTCCTGCTGGTCTCCAATGTCCGTCCCTCCACTCCGACAGATCCATGGCAGTTTCTCGTAGAAGATAAGGCGGCGGAGGCGAAGTTCGGTTTTTGTTTCGGTTTGAACCTGCGGAAGGCGAGCCGACGAGCCCATCCGCTGCTGGAGGGCTGGTCGGTCTATGTGACTCCGCAGGTTCGGCCGCCTCCCGATCAGCTCAAAGGTCAGTGGCCGGCCAGAGCCGGTAGCTGCAATGGGGAACAGCTGTTCAAGTTTTTACTCGGGAAATCCTTTTTGCCGAAAGGACATGCTTACCATATGATAAACTGATTGCTACCTTTTTATAGCGTCAATGATTCAACAGGTCATTGTGATAGTTCATTTTGTGTTCGGTACACGTGACGCCGTCGCTGACGCCGTTTGCCGTTCAGATGTGATGCGAGTCTGTTCATTTGTGTTCGGTACACATGACGCCGTCGTTGACATCGCTGTCTGTCCCTCAGAGGTGATTGAGTGCGCCGGCGGCCTGTTCCTGCCGCGGCTGCCGCGCAGCTCCGCGGACCGTGTGGCGGTGATCTCGTGCGGCGAGGACGCGCGCCACTGGCCGGCCGCGCGTCGGCTCCACCTGCCCGTGGTGTCGGCCGAGCTGCTGCTCACGGGCGTGCTCCACCAGCGGATAGACGTGCGGCGGCACGCGCTCACCGGGTAAACCGCGCCGCCGACCTGCGCCCCGGGCCGGACCGAGGGAGGGACGAGACTCATCGGGATCATTTGTTGCTGTGCAAACGCCGTCCATTGTTATCTCAGCGTGAACTTAGGTTGACGGCAGTTCATCCATAGATAGGACCAGACACTGGCGTCGTTAGATGCGGGTTATATGCGAAATGCCTTATGTTGCCAGCGGGCTTATTATTATGAAGTGCGTCGAATTGTGCGTGGATTGCTGCTGCTGCTCGCCATCTCGCTTTCACTGCACTAGGCTGTATTGGGGTTGAGCTTCATCAGTATTTATTCACAAGCGACGACATAATATAGATCTCAAACGTTTGAAATGTGTGTGCCACTACTCTCTGAAAGAACATTCCATTCGGTATCAAAACCCTTTCGAGAATGGCATAATGGTTTCTATCACAAGCACCATACACCTCACTGTGAGATGCGGTTCATGACCATGACAATATGGTGTCTTCATGGTTGGAGCTTACCAAACAAGTCTCCTTCATTCCAGCTCGAACATTTTAACAGTCTTTCACTCTGTGACTCTATAGTTCAACACTACGTATTATCCACTCCCGTGCGATCTGAGTGCGCTCCCTCGGGGCTGGCCTCTGCGCTGCGCTGCCGGCGCCACTGATCCTTTCTGTCTCGGCGCCGGCGACGCTGCAAGTCGCCACGCTGCCTCCGCTGCTGCTCCTCCCGCTCCCGCTGGGCGGCCACAGACGCGTCACCGTTCAGCGCACGGTCCAGCCGCTCCGCCAACAGGTGTCTGGCCTGGCGCCGGTTCACCTCCAGAGACCGGGACTCGTGGCACTTGACCACCAACCCTGAAAATCCGACACCGGTTTAGTGTGGCCAATTCAAGGTAAGCACTACCTATTTTGTCGTTTAACCGCAATGGTGTGATACTGAAGCATCAGGCATTTTGCTCTGGGGTTTCTAGATTTTGATGAGCATTGACAATTTCCACGGAGCAGTCGTCTATAGCTCACCGGTGGGTACGTGTTTCAGCGAGACGCAGTTGGCCGTCTTGTTGACGCTCTGGCCGCCGGGACCGCCGCCGCGCACGAACCGTTCCTCCAGCTCTCGCTCATCCAGCTGCGGGAACCGCGACCAGTCGATACCCTGTGTACCGGCCAGCCGCGCCGCCGCCGCCGCCGGACAGCGTGGCGTCGCCCGCAGCAGGACGGCCGCCGTCCGTAGCACACCGCCCAGCATCGCTCAGACGAGACGCCGCCGACTCAGGACGGCGCGCCCCTTCTGCCAGGTAGAGCCGTGCCATCTGGACGTTAGACACGCTGACTGCCGATGGCCAGACACTTGATAATGACCACGTGCCATAATAACGATTAAATATCGAACACACGTTTGGTCAGGTGACTAGCTGAGGCAGTGTTTCACAGGTAAAATGTTTTAATTCGGTTAAAATTAAGCCGGGCGTCGTCATGTGACACATGAAAGGTATCCTGTAGGTCGGAGTCGTCGCTTTATTCATCCATTTTTTAAATCCTCAAGATTCTGCAGCTCTGCAACTTGCAGAATGTACAGCAGACTGCCCAAGAAAGTGCAAATAAAAGCGCACAATAGTGAATAGACCACCACACAATTTACCTCGAAGAGAAACCGGCGGCGCTGTTCCTCCTCAACCAGTCGCGACCTTTCGAACTCTCCCCGAACGCGTCGGTAGAAGTAGAGCCTGTCGGTGAGCTGCAGAGTCTGGCCGTAGCGCAGCAGGTGCCGGTAGAGCTGGAGCACCTGGGCGGTGCTGGGAGCCGACATCTGCTGATGGAATGCGCGAGTCAATAACACGGTACACGCCTGTCGGCCAACCGAGCTACCGTCGGTGCGGCGTCGCTCAGCCGGCGGGGATTTACCGCGGTGGGGCGCGGATTTATCGCCGGGTGGTGCGGATTTCGGTGGAGTGGTGAGACCCCTGCTTTGATATGTTAAACTGAAGTGTTACCATGATACTTTTAATTGCTATTATTGCCAGGGACACTAATGAGGCCAAGGGACAAATTGCTTTTAGCATTTTCTACCACTTACACATGATTAATTTCAAATTCTGTGACACAATTGTTACGTATAAGGCCTCATTTTTTTTCTGTAGACTGGTGCTAATTTCAAGCTTAGTTGGTTCTAACTGGTGTATGTTTGTCTCTCTGGCTACTTTCAAGTTTGGCTCTGGGCTCATTGACCCTGCTCTAAGTATTTGTAGTCAAGTAGCTACCCCAAACTGTGCTATTTATGGGAACGGTGCAAAGGAAAGATGTAATGTGCTTAAAGCCCTACAGGCTACAGTGCAGCCTCATTCATGGTGTCAAGTACTTAACCACTGGCAGATCTGGAATCTTCAAGGGCAATCTCCATTAGTGTGTGCTGAGTGAATGTGTTTTATACATTTGTTTCTTTAATTGAGGGTACCTACTGATTGAGAAGCTATAGATGCATGTATTTTAGAAAATTATTCAGATGCATGTATTTTAGAAAATTATTCATCTGTTTATCAATTGAATGCCTAATGTGAAGTCCAAGTAAAAAAAAAAATAACATGACCTTACCTTCGCTGGTAACCTGCCACAGCCTACAACCTACAACCTATTACCTGGGCCCTGTTTCACCGGTGATAGCAGCACGCTGCTTTTACACGTGTCAAATTGGGTTTCCATGGAAACATCAACAGGCCCATTGCTCCAACACTACCACAAGTGTGACGTCAGCTCGCGCAATTTGATAGCAGCGTGGTAGCAGCATCCCGTGAAACACCGCCCTGCATTCTGCAACCTACTCATACTGGCTACCAACCTACATACCACTCGGACTTGATCTTCTTCATAATGCCCAACATTAAAAGTTGAAGTTAAAACTCAATCTTTATTACAATCAATCAATTGCAATAGGAATGCTGTATGAGTACGTAGGTAGACTTATTACTTACTAAATACACTTATGTGACTAGAGTGTAGACTATATATCACTGCAACTTGAAACCTTTTTAGCTATTAATGATATGGGTAGGGGCAGGTAGGGGTAGGTATGCCTGGGAATGCCTGGGAGGGTATGTTGGGTAGGTATGTTTCTTGGTATGTTTGCCAAATCAAAATGTTTGCATATGCAGAAAACAGAAATTGTGATTGTAGCATGCGTGCCATTTACGTTGCATGTCATTTGCTTCCATATAGAGGTAGCAAGCCAAAGTTCTGCTATGAAGGGAAGTATGCATGATGTTTTGTGCTTTTGGCTATTAGACAATTATTCTCTTGTTAAAAGTTTATAAATAAAAAATTATTTGGAAAATTTCATGAAGTATCTGCCTGGCTACCATATGGCAAAATTGGAGCGTATTTGCCTATTTAGTATGTTGACGTCATGATTAGAGACTACTCGTTGAGTAGTTGCGAGTGCGTCTAGCGGCTGGTAGGGACAATTATGAGACAGGGCTGTTCACGACGTCGGTTTATGTGGTTTACATAAACTGCCCTCGGGGCACGTTCCCGGCTGTGACGTCACATGGCGTTTACGTTTACGAAACACGAGTGTTTACTTAAACAGTGACAACTAATAAGCAGTTGAGAAGATATTGTAAAAGGTGCAAAGAAAAGATAATCTGATGGAAATATGTCCCATATCATGACATATTGCAAGAATAAGGACAGTTTTCATCACAAAATACCCATGACGCTAGACGCTGGTTAGCAGAGAACGATGCTCAAAATAGGTCTTGAAATAATAAAACCTCCCATTCCAGTCCTCTGCAACCCGTACAGGGTTATTTTGAAACTCATTTACCCACCTACCAGCCCCTGAACTGTCCGAATTCAATTTTCCTAACTCACAACTCGCCTCACGAGTTTGCCGCACATCGCCATCATTGTCACATAAACGCGTTTACGCGCTATGTTGATGCTCTGAGGCATCAACCGCATAAACGGTTTACGGCGGAGGTCTGACGTCATTGACGAGATGTGACGTCAGGATCAGGTCGACGCTGATTGGTCCTTCAAAAAATAAACATGTTTACGGTTTATTAAACGGGATAAACCGACGTCGTGAACAGCCCGGTTGCGCGCTATATACAAACTGAATTATCGCAAGGCTACTAAATCAAAATGTATTTACGCATTGGTATCTTCGGTCTTTGTTATTGTTTGGGCTGGCTGGCTGCCAACAGGTCAGGTGTGCGTTTGTTATTTATTTTTGTTTTCGACAGGAAGACAGCTCACATTTGCGAAGAGATTACCTTTTTGACATTGACACACTCAGAAGATTGGTGGAAAATGTGACAAGATTGAGATATTTAAAGATTGAGATGAGGAGTGAGTGAGCGTTGGTTATTTTATTTTTTGTTTTCATCAGAAGATGGATTGAAATTTGTGATAAATAGGTATTCCAGAGATGATTGTACCTAAATGAAGATCCGAGTTGAAATGGAAAAAAGCAAGAGAAAACAGGGATTATTATTGTTACGGTAGTTTGGTTATGATTCTGCAAGCACCTTTGTCATAACCTTAAGTACGTATTATTGGGTTTGCCAAGCAGTTTATCAAGGTGTTCATGGATAGGCTTATTTTCAAAGAATAACAGTAGACTCCTGATGTGTGGTATGTGATTGACGAGCTGATGTTATCTGTTCTGTCATGTGCATTGATAGTAAATACGTGCATGCTTGGACCCTGGCAAGGTGAATAAAAGCATTCATATTTCCTAATAATGAATAATGTTGCTCTCTCTTCATGACTAATGATATGTTATGGAAGTGTAATGGGGTCAGAATGAAGTCAACCATAGCTCATTTTGAAATGCATTTCCTGCTGGCTGGAAGCTGCACACACCACATGTAAAACTGAAATTAATTCATTGGTTTTGGCATAAAAATAACAAAGATTATGACAATCAAGATTTGGAGCTTGGAAGGAGTGTTCAGTGATAGAATTCACTAGTGCTGATAATGGTCTTCCAGAGTCTCAATTCCTATTCTGGTTGCAATGCACAAACTCTGATCCACCTCGACACATTCTCACAAACAATTTTCAGCTCTCACAGATGTATTGAAACACTGCACCATTTTCAATGCATGACAGGCAGGTAGGCACTATCATTGATTGAAGCAGGACCTTCAACAGCAGACATTAAACCAGGAAATACAAGCTAGCCCCTTCATATTGATATTCAATTATGGTACATCTCACAAACATCAGAAGGTAGGTCACTATGTTCTTTGCTTTAATCATAGAATATTGACATTAAATATTGATATTGAATAATAATATTACACTTCCATTTTAGATGATGTTTCATTAACTAAACATATAAATAAATTATCATTATGAGCGTGGGCACAACATCAAACTTGGTGCCCAAAGCAGAAAGCTCGCCACTCAGCATGCATGAGTCAAACTTTAATTTCCGATTAATCTGACAAAACACATGGTTGCAAATATCAATAACATCTTAAACTGAAGATGAACCAGTTACATATACTATGTGAACATAACTAAATTAGAACATGGTAAATCCAGCATGAAGTTTGCATTCTGATTCAATCAAACACGGTCTACAATGATCCAGCTGGGATAAGGGAAACCAATTTCCCATACCTGCTACATTGCATGATTAAATCGAGACATCCACGCATTTCAATGGCACATGCACTGTACCACACTTCTCAAAATTTAATGCAGTGCTTTAATATTGCCAGCCGTGTGGTTCAAGGGGTGTGGTTAAACGCGTTGAACCACACGGCTGCTGACGTCACTATCAATTACAGTTGTGAGCTTTTTGGCAGGTATGGAAAACACCTTCCAGCCCTAAGGCCGGGAATTCAATAAATGTCACCTCGCTTTTTTAGCGAAAAGCACCTCGGGCCTAACGGCCCTCGGAGTTTTAAAAAACCTCGGTGACATTTATTGAATCATCCCGGCCCCGGGCAGGAATATATTAAACCACCAGTTGGTATTCATTCATTGGCGATATGATTTATATAGGTGCACTTCCATACCTATCTATTTCAATTTATACTTGCGACAACAACCTCTTGCTACTTGACTTTCAATTCATCTTTGAATATTTTCATCTCGTCACATTTTCAATCAATCTTCTGAGCGTGTCAATGGCAAAAAAGTAATCTCTTCGATATTATGAGATGTCTCTTCCTGCCGAGAACAAAAATAAATAACAACCTCACACCTGTCGGCAGCCAGCCAGCCCAAACAATAACAAAGACCGAAGATACCAATGCGCAAATAGAATTTGATTTAGTAGCCTTGCGATAATTCAGTTTGTATAAAGCGCGCAAGCACTGTCTCATAATTGTCCCTACCAGCCGCTAGACGCACTCGTAGTTGCTACCAAATTTTTAATTTTGGTTTACATATCTGGCGCCATCAATACAAACAAAAAGTACAAAAAAGTACACACGTAAACAAGAAAACACGCCACTGACACTCACCCCGTGTGTAAAAGAACGCGCATAGTATTTTACACCACTGAAAAACATAGCAATAAGGGGGCACACAGGGGTAAATATTTCTAAGAATCTCCAAGTGGCTGCAGAGTGCAGGCACTGCAGGCTGCACCAAAGCGCCATATAGGTACCTACTAACTGTGCACTCTAATTCTGCAACACCGTGTAAGTACCTTCGCTAAATAGGCAAGTCGAGTAAAGTCCACTATCCGTAAAACCTAAATCCACATTCACTGTATTTGACTTTTGACTATGCTGGTGGTCAGTTGGCAGAGCATTAGGTGTGGAGGCAGAGCCAAATTCCAGTTAGGCTGAACCTGAACACCCTCGCAACTGCTGTGGCCAGTGACGACAATGGCACACTTGTTTTGAAGAATGTAGATGCTGATCAAAGTTTTGTGTGTAATGGCTAGGTACATAATGGCTTATTCACTTCAATCAGTTAAGTTTTGAAGTAACTATTCTGAAACAGCATCTGCATCATAAAATCAGCCTAAACAAAGTGTGAAATTTGCAATGCTTTGTTCCCATGTGTGCAATTAATGTCTAAGTTTCCCTGCGGTCGCTCGCGAGTGACCGCGGAGACACAGGAAGAGCCACGTGCTAACCAGAATGCTGCTCTTGCCTGATTGGCTGCCAGCTAAGCTCCACCTTTTTGCCACTAAGGCCACAGGCGCAGACAGTTGAACAGGGCCCTGGTTTGAGTCACTTTGTCAGTCTCGCTTAAGTCGCTTTGACAGGCTGCGCCGCTTGGAAGGGCACATGAAGCTTTCGCATTTAAATCATCCCGTTACCTGGAATTGGCCTGATAGGATGGTAAGGGTCTGGGTCTGCGCACAGTGCAACAAGCTTTGCTTAGGGTGGGCTCCGGCTCTGTGACTCTGCCTAAACATTTGATCAATTCTCACCTGGTGGGGTTCACCAAGCCTGACAGACCTAATGATGGCCAAGGATGGCTAAATTAATTAAAAGTACTGTACACATCATTTATTTGCAAATGGTGCTCTTTCTCTCTCACACCTATCCTATCTCCCTCTCACTTTTCCAAAAGTACACATCATTTATTTACAATTGGTGCTCTTTCCCTCTCACACCTACCTCCCTCTCGCTTTTCCATTCCAATTCTTTATGCCATGCTGACTGAGTGGTATGCAAGCTGATTTATAGTTTATTCTAATCTAGACCAAGCCTGCCCCGTGGCTCAGTTGGTAGAGCGTTGGACTCCTGGTCGGTACCTACCTAGTGAAAGCCCAGGTTCGAGCTACTGACCTTATGACACCGATATCAAATTTCCGAGATATACATTTTGTGCATACTGTTTCCCTATCAATTACTGAAAGTTTCAAAGTGGTCAGTCACTCGGTGTACTTTGACAGGCATTGAAGCTACTTATGAGGTGAGGTCATGATGTGACCTGGTGACCTGACCTCATGTAACCTTGATCTGAAATTTTCACATAATGTGCAGAAAAGATGTATGATAAGGTGTACCATCCCCCGATCGGACGCTAGTGCACTCGCGCAGAATATTAACCCGCGCACCGACGGGGGGGGGACGGATATCCGCCCCCCCCCTGAGGTTTTTCGCGAATAGCGGGAAAACCGCGGCGCGTAGCGCCGCGAAATTTGGTATGACTATAACCTCATCAATTTTACACATGGTGTGCAAGTTTGAACTTCCTACCTTTTAAGGTCAGGTCACCAGGTCACTTTGAATGACCCAACCTCAAGTCACTTTTTTGCAACTTTGTCACCGTGCCACAGCTACAGTAGATGTCGGAGGCCTTTGAAAGTCGCAGGATATTATTAGGTCATTAGCAGCTACAATTTGTATATCTCGGAATTTTGATATCGGTGACCTAAGGTCAGGTCAATTTCGCGACCTCCCCATTATAAGTCAATGGGGGAAAAATCAACTCCCTGTTTTTACCACTAAAACGGGTCGGAATGGCCCCATATACTTTACATGACTTCATATACGATCAACCTTCACTACCTTGAGGTCTGTTTTGCTGTTGGGCAGCTGTGAGGTCATGTGACGTCATCAAAGGTCACCAAAGGTTTTTGGCCAATAACTCCGTACAGGAACAAGATACAGACGCGTGGATGGTCTCATTGTGTTCAGCTCGTCAAGACGCATCGAATGATATACATGATGACCTCGAGGTCACGTGACCTGAGGTCAACCTTTGACCTTGACCTTTCGAGGTCAACATATATATCATTCGATGCGGATTGACGAGAGGATCACGATGATGCCCTTAGTTTGTTCCTATCTCGACTAATTCGAAAGGTATTCGAGAAAAACTCTCTCCATATCTAGCGCCGCCATTTTGACTTTTTCGACCCCTGTGACGTCATCTTTGACCTGACCTGAAAATGACCTTAGTAAAAATTGTAGATCTTGGCCGTGCGTATCCGATGCCGTTTACCGCTTGTCGCTATCTTGCTTCGTTCTCGAGATCTCAGGGGGGGGGGGCGGTCATCCGCCCCCCCCCCCCCGTCGGTGCGAAGTTGGCGCAGACCCCCGTCGGTGCGCGGGTTAATGTGACGGTGACGCTGGAATATTTTAGGTAATTACGAGACACGGGATATTCGTACGCGTAAGTCTGTCCTGTCGACATTGTGTCGACATCGAATCGACATTGTGACGACATTTATACGACGTCGAGCTTATGTTATATCGACCCCGTCAACATCGAAACAATGTTGTATCAACATCGAGGCTATGTTATTTACAGTCACCGTGATCGAGACAATGCTGTATCAACACCGAGGCAATGTTGTACAATGCTGTCCCGTTAATATTGATACGATGGTGAAATTCAGCTTAGTATCAATGTCGAAAGTGGCTAATAGAATGACATCGACACAACATTGTTGTCAATGCTGATGCATCGATACAATAGGTATTGATGTGCCACTAGGGTGATCTGGGCCTGTGCAACAAGTTCTTCGTTGCTAGTTTCCGATGCTGTGAATCCGTCCATTCAAACATTTGAGATGAATTTATAAAAAAGCTTTATGTAAAACTCGATATGGACGGACACGCTCGCACATGCATGAATGTGCACTTGAGGCTCAATGAAGCAGAGGGTGCTTTTCTTGACCCCGCCTGGATGGATAAGATACCGCATATCTTGATAATGGGAGAGCCGCGAACGCTTGAACTGATAACCGAACTTCGCAGCGGGTCAAGGCTGACACTGACTCGGGTTTTACAAGCGCCGCGTTACGTCTAGACGGTATCGTCATACACTCATTGGCAGATGAGAGATAAGCACTCTATCAAGATCACGCGCACCAGTGCTCTAAGATAGCTCGTTTTTAGCTCGGATGGTTTGCAGACGTTCTGGTGTGCTGACTGCCGGTGTTTGAGGTACTGCTTCTTTAGGATACGGCATTAGGTAAGATAACCTCCCATTCCAAAATACTTTCCGTCATTTAAATCGATTCATGTATGTACAGCTTGCTGCTTTATAGCTAGTTTGTTCCACCAGTAACTCATTTTTTTGTACTGTCCACTCTTACATTTGGGGTTTTGAATTTGTCCAATGCGTTAATTTTTTCTTCTATTTATTTATTACTCGTCCACGTATTCAGCTTTTGGCTTTTCCAAAAATGCGTTATTGAACGCCATGGGAAAGTAGGTGGAAGAGTACAACACATGCCTACCCCAAAAAATGTGTCTCCAGAGTCCTTGAAATTTTTGTCAGTATTTATTGCGCGATTGAAAACAAAGCTCTAATTAAATATTCAAACACACGCTAAGCTCCATCTTTGCGAGGCAAATAGCACAGTTTCATGACTTTGGGGAGCTCTGAAGGCTTATCACCCAAATGTCCTCGAATCTTTGCCCGGATCTTTTTATATTCGTGACACTGCTCGATCGGTGGGGCTGATTTTTGTCGTCTCACCGGCTGTTATGCTAGAATTTTACTGTTTATGTTGTAAAGATAAATGTTTTTGACGAAAGTACACGGTGGTCGTTTTTGCACGCATGGTTTTTCATCTTTCCCTGCGTATGTCTGATAATGTTATAGCGACCCAGATAAGACAGACCGCCAAAGCGTGATAAGTAATCTCACCGCAATAAAATAAATTATCTCTGCAGCTACGCCCACGGAGTAATTACTTGAAGCCTCCCCAGCTACGCTGATGAGTGATGACTCGTGTGACCTTTGGCGGGTCGCCATTGATTGGTAATGTGTTATACTAGTTGTAGTAGTATTGGATGTCTAGTTTTAATTACGATCGTTTGGTTCTGAGGACGTGTGCGCGTTGCCGGCAGCCGCGCTGAGGTGCGGCCATGTCGACGGGCGCTGAGGATGCCGAGGTGCGGGTGGAGCCGGTCCCCGAGCCGGACGAGCCCGAGCTGACCGGCTGCGGCGCCTCCATCTGCTGCGACCCGCGCCGGCCCGTCCACCGGTTCATGGTGCTGCCGCTCATCTGCTTCATCGGATTCGGTGAGCGGTGGGCGCTGGCGTCGGCGGCAGGGGGAGGGGCAGTGGAGATCAAGTGGGGAAGGGCCCGCTGAGACAGTGATAGGCGACCGCCGAGACTAAGCAATGCATGTTTTCATGTGATAAAGCTGCTTTGGTTTATGCGACACGATTGGAAAGGTCAAGTTTTTAGGAAGCGAATCGTGGAACTGGTTTTTAGTTGTTCTGGATGTAAGGCATGTTTCTCGTTTTAAGCTGAATGCCCCAACTGCGTCTCGGAAATCTAATTTATCTGTTAAAAATTGTATATACATATTAAATTGAAAAGTTAATGCAACGGCCGACGGCCGTGCTAGAGGAGATCGTGCCTCGTGACTTTACAAACAACCCACAATGACCGCCGTTACAGGTTCGTACTTCTGCTACGATGGCCCCGGCGCTCTTCAGAATGACCTGAAGCGGGACATGGGGATCAACACGTCGCAATACTCGCAGCTGTACGCCTGGTACTCGTGGCCCAACGTGGTGCTCTCCATGGTCGGCGGCTTCCTGATCGACCGGTGAGCGGTGCTCAAGTGCCGGCTGTTAGTTGAAGGATAGGCGGTTAGGAATGCTAGGCAGATGTTTTTGGCGAAGAATACAGTTATGTGAGGATATGGTTATTGGTCATATAAGGACTTTCTAGATACTTAGCTGTTTGACCCTATCGTTGACTTACCGATCGCCTTTTCCGGGCTTATAACAGATCCAGCCCTTCGGCCTTCGGTGTTCAGACCTTGTGTGCACTGTGCATCCATTTATTCCATACCCCGGTGTCGCCGACCCCCGCACTGACGCCCCGTTTTGTCTCTGTCGGCAGGGTTTTCGGTATTCGTTTCGGCGCCATCGTGTTCTCACTGTTTGTGTGTGTAGGACAGGTGATTTTCGCCCTGGGTGGCATCGTTGACTTGTTCTGGCTGATGGTTGCCGGTCGGTTCGTATTTGGGTACGTAATGCGTTGGAGCGGGAACAATTACACACTAGAGCTTATATTAAATAGCTAGTTGTAGGCAGAACGATACTACGCGACAAAATAAATAATATAAATAGCAGAACTCATTTTCTACTGGCTTTTGAATATGATTCAGTCATTTTCATGAATTTGCTGACATGCCAAGGAGGATAGGACCTGGGAAAGGATAAGCTTCAATTTGGAAAGCTTCCATCACTTTACTGTACATTGTGTGTATCGTTGCAGCTCCACGAAGCGGGCGTACCCACTAACGCTGCCTGCCCCACCCACAGTATTGGCGGAGAGAGTCTGTGCGTGGCCGTCAACACGTACGCCGTGCAGTGGTACAAGGGCAAGGAGCTCAACATGGTGTTGGGCCTGACGCTGTCGGTGGCCCGCGCCGGGTCCACCGTCAACTTCAACGTGATGAAGCCGCTGTATGACGCAGTCTCGGAGAACTTCGACGGCTACAAGGCCACGGGCGTCACGCTCATGATCGGTGAGGCCGCTGTCGATAGTTAGCACTGCGACGCTTTACCTCGTATTCCACTCAACTCTCTTCAACAGCTCTCAACAAGTGAACAGCTCTTCAGGCTACATGGCTAGGACTCGTCCGCTGTGTAACACCAGCCCGAAGTTTGGTGACTGTCTGTGGCTGTGTGCCCCTGACCTGAGTGTCCCGCTCCGCGTTCACCCACAGCCGGCTCGGCCACCGTGCTCTCGCTGGTCCTCTCCATCGTCATGTGGTACTTCGACAAGCGCGCCCAGATCATCCTGCGGCGCGACGAAGGCAAGACTGGCGAGGAGGTGCACATCACCGACGTCAAGGACTTCCCCATCAGCTTCTGGATGCTGACCACCATCTGCGTCTTCTACTACTCGGCCATCTTCCCGTTCGTCTCGTTCGGACAGTGAGTTTGCGGGGAACGCTGTTTAATTCTCCTGTCGTTTAAGAGTACTGTTGTATCCGCCAATGTTAACGTTTTATGAAAATGGAAAATTTACCTTCAATGGCCTCTGGATTCCGTAAAAATAACTGAATTCTGTCGATGTTCACAGGGTGTTTTTCATCCGCAAGTTTGAGATGTCACCCGCCGAGGCCAACTCGTGTACGGGTGTGATCTACATCATCTCTCTGGTGGCGTCTCCGATCATCGGCCTGTCGATCGACTTCACCGGCCGCAACATCCTCTGGGTGATGGCGTCCGTGCTGATGACGGTCGGCTGCCACGCGCTCATGGCCTTCAGCTTCGTCAACCCCTGGGTGGCCATGGTGAGTAACGTGTGGGAAAGTAACGAGTCTTAGGCTATGACAGCCTTGGACTCTGACAGTCTGGTGCAAGGCTAGTCTGTGGTCGTCACTGCAGGCAGGGTCCAGTCATGCATTGCTATCTATTTCATAATCCGGCGGCAATGATTACAACCATCCTTCCAAATCAGATGGTTTCGTCTTCACTGTCAGCATTTTGGCTGTTTTGTGACAAATATTCACAGGTAATACTTCACATAGGCTCCTTTACGTTCCACCTGCACAAAAATTAAAAGCCGAAGACAATATCCGGACTGCAGCTGACCGCCTTTTGGCGTTTGAATCACATGTGCTGATTTCCTCATGGCTTGACAACGCGAAATTCATACCTAGCTTCAGGCATGGTCTTAAAACTAACCCTATCCCCTTCAATTATATCGCGATTTTAAGATTAGCGTGCTTATTTCTGTCCCTTGTATCAGTCAGATAATGATTTAAGGTGATTGCCCCGTTTGCAATCGCGCTACTCAATCAGTACGGTCGTTGATAAGCTTTTATCTGGAGGTGACTTACTTACCGGCCTACTGGCAAATCCTAGGTGTGTAATTGGCTCAACAGCTAGCCTTCAGCCAAAGCTTTGGCAAACGATGGGGGAAGATATGTGGCGAAGTGTGTCTTTAGGGAAAATGCAATCATAATAGCTACGAAAGCGACATAGATCCTTGGAGCTTTCGTATCTTTCGATAAACCGTCATATTTTATCCTATCCCATCAGGCAGAACAACTTACGACCTGTGTTACCAAGTATGCTATATCGTAAATCTGCCTCTAGCGAACTCTTGAGAAGGACTGACTGAACTTTCACTGGGAGGTTGTTTCTGTTGGGTCGATTTTATACGCTCTCTGACTCGCGCCGCGCTCCGGCCGACAGTCGATCCTGGGCCTGGCCTTCTCCATGCTGGCATCGGCGCTGTGGCCGATGGTGGCGCTGGTCATACCCGAGCGGCAGTGCGGCACCGCCTACGGCATGTGAGTACCGGGCCGGCGGGCTGCGGTCGCTGGGGAGCCCCACACGCCTATGTGAGGAGCGATGTGCGCTGCGCTTTGCTGTTCTTGTGTTCACTGACCGTCGGTTGTCGATCACAACTCTCCGTGGTGACCTAAGTTGTCCGTTCGTTCTCGCCACAGTATGCAGTCGGTGCAGAACCTCGGCCTGGCACTGGTGAACATGCTGGGCGGCACCATCGTGGACAACAGCGGCTACCTGGTGCTGGAGGTGTTCTTCCTCGCCTGTCTCTGTGGTAAGTGGCCAGGGATGGGATTATCGTCGCCGGTGCCAGCATACAATCGGCCATGACAATTCTAATCTGTTATCAAAAAAGGTATGTCGTTTGTGCTACCTTATCAATTCCGTTCCGTGGGTAAAAGTTATAACGTTCACACGGAAAGAGCAGACGATCATTTCATTATCAGTGGGAACATGTTCCGCAATCCGCACCGTATTGGTTATCTAGCAGTGCCATTCCTGTCATATGTGTGATTCGTCACTTTTTTATGTGTGTAATGTGTATCGTATGTCTTCTTGGAGTTATTTTTAACGAGTGTCGAAACACCAGAAAATGCCTGAAGATGCAGTTGAGTGTGTCGGTGCGCGCAGTGTCGCTAGTGGCCTGCATCGTGATCTGGGTGATGGACGACCTGAAACACGAGGGCTACCTGAATGGCAGCCGCGCCGTCAAACACGCGATCGAGCAGCGCCGCCGTAAGACCCGGGGCACTCCGTCCGTTCGCCGCGGGATACCGTCTGTCTGTCTGTCTGTCCGTGCCGCGGGGGTGCCGTCCGCCCAGTGTCTGTACATACCCGCGTCTGTCTGTGCGTCTGTACAGCCACCATGATGGCGGCCATCGTGATACTGGTGCACGACGCGGCGCGCGGCGGCTCGCTCAACATGACGCCCGGGCAGCGACGCCGCTTCGACGCCTGCTCCAAACGGTCAGTGAGACGCACTCGAACACATAGACGTCGGACCCATAAACACGACCATTCGTCATAAAAACACGTGCTCGAACACATAAACAAACACACACAGGCACACAGGCACCTGCACAAACACATGCATTATTTTCAGGAAGGGGTGGGTGATGGTGAGATCATTAATCTCAAGTCGTGAAGAAGCGGGTTAACGGCTACGAGGCCTTAATTTATTAACGTGTCGAAAGGTTACCCACCACATCCAATGTGTGCTCAACCATATTCATATGATGTACAGGGTGTCCACATAAATTTGATACTCAGGTTTTCTGACATAAAATCTAAAACAAACATGTCATGTCAAAAATTCAAACAACGTTGTATTTCAAATCGAATGGCAAAACGAACGATATCCAACATAAACGGTTACACTCAATCGTTCATTCGTTGCAGCCCCTCAAAGTAGGCGCACGATATATGGTTGTAGGCGCCATCCTGACGGACCACCTGTGACACTTGGGCATGGACAGCAGTCGCACATGGTTAATCGTTTGCATGGTTAATTGACTGTCTCTTTCGTTTCTGGCGAATGTAAATCCTAAATGGATGATGTAAGAAGGCAGGCTTCAGTGGCAGACCTCGCTCAGCCCGCTCCGTGCAGGTTATCGGACAGGTGGAGCGGTCCATCACGGATAGACCGGAGAGGTCTGGGTGGCACCGGGCTCAGTCTCGGACTGAGACGGATCCCTTTGCCGAACACAATCTTGCCAAAAACCTGCGTTTTCTTCCATTTAGGATTCAAGTTTGACAGAAACGGACGAAAGAAACAGTCGATTAACCGCAAACTGTGCGACTGCTGTCCATGCCAAAGTGTCCCAGGTGGTCCTTCAGGGTGGCGCCTATCACATATCGTGCGCCCTACTTCGAGGGGCTGCTACGACTGAACGGTTGAGTGTAAACATTTATATCAGGTATCGTTTGTTTTGCCATTCGCTTTGGAATACAACGGTATTTGAATTTTTGATATGACATGTTTATTTTAGATTTTATCGCAGAAAACCTGAGCATCAAATTTATGTGGATACCCTGTAGGTATATCGTCGTGTCTGTCGTTCGGATCTGTCCTCGTGGGGCGCTATCGGTGTTATACAACTGAACCGAGTCTGACGCCATAAGAGGCGCTCGTTGCCGGGATGTCGGGCCGGTATCCGTGTATGTATGTGCCTCTGGTCTGGTCGGGAGTCTGCCCCGTGTCCCGTGCTGGTCCGCCGGGGTCGTCCGCTCACCCGTGCTGTCGGGACCGGGCTGTTGACAGCGCGCTGAGTCGACCCGACGACACGGAGCCGCTGGTGACTGAGGATGACCAGCCTGAACAGCAGTAGCGGTCGCAGGTCAGGTCAGGTCCAGGACAGCACACACGATGGTAAAGCAGTTGACTTTTTATGGTCGTTGCTATGACTTCAACCGTTTTGATTTTTTAGCGATTTTGCAACGTAGCACAACAAACCTATTTTTGTATCATTTCGAATGACATACGACGCTGCAACTTCCTCACTTTGCTGCCACGCACTGTTTTCGGATTTCTCGTCAGTCTGCATCTCTATTCCCATGTTTCGATTCGTGCTTGCCTCAGCAATTTGACGAGCATACCCCGGCTACTGATAGACGTTGGATAGACTTTAAGTGACTGCATGCATCAGAGACAAGCCACTGTTTGTATCAGTATTTTGACGAGCTGTCCCGACCACCGCAGAGGAGGCGGAGGAGAAGGAGGCTAGAGAAAAGTCTGAGAAACCCGAGAAGTTCGGCGTCGACAACCTAGCGCTGGACACGACCGCGCTGTAGGACGGCGCGGTCTCCAGTCACCCACCGATGGAACCCGGCGTCGAGAGCGAGGGCCGGCGGGCCAAACTGCCAGAGTTGGCCGGGGCCGGGCGGGAGTCCCGCCCCGCGACACCAGGGTATCTGCTCAACAGGGGAGTATCTTAGCGGGAGCCCTGTAACTCCCTCAGCGTGCCTTGCACAACTATCGAGGGACATCAAAGACATATAAGCTGGGTCGAGGCCCTCTTAGTTATCAATCCCTGTTATGCTCATGGATGCATATTTTAAACATACACATGTAATCATTGCAATCACATGTACATAATGATTGCATCTTCATACCTGCTTATCGCATGTGAAATGTGCTCGTAATGCTCGTATTTAATGTATAATGACGCATTTTATTTTCAATGCTAGCGTGTTTTATGCGAATAAAGGCTATGTTGTACTCGGATCATGCATGCGATTCAAACAGTTTTCAGTGATACATGAATTTCCTGTTCAGGTTCTTGGACTGTTCCATTCCATTATACCGATTCAAATTGCCATTTTTATCATGGATGAATTCGCTTCTCCCTCATGGGGACTTGCCCTGATTATATGTTGTAATAAATTTTACACTAATACACCTTCGTTTTATTTCGGAAGGGTTCTCCAAAGCTCGGAGATCATCCGACTGGCCCGTTATGCACGCCCGTCTCGGTCCAAGCCGTAGGTATTATTGTTTTCGTCATGCCCCAGCCCCCCACGCGGCCCCAAAGCCGACACGTTCTGGCCACCTGTAACCGTCGATGGTCTTTAGCTTAATGGCTACGGTCATATGGCTACAGCTCACAAGTCGCATCGCTGTGTTCTCTAGATAATATATGTATTTGTCTGACGACACACCACCGATCACAAACGAAATACCCACCCCAAACAACAGCCCATACCAACAGCTCGGATAAATACTTCATATGATGGAATGTAATAATAATCTATGAAGTGATATTCTGGCAGGTCTATAACTTCGTATATATTTATCTAGAGACCCGACACGTCATGCAAGGATGCAGCATCCGCATGATAAAGCATTTCACCACCGTCACGTTCCCTCAGCGGTCTGGTTCCACTCTTGCCTGGCTCGCTGCTACCGCCGCCCATCCTCTTCCAGCAGTCCCAGAAGCCGTGTGCGCGCCCGCTTACCCACGTGGCTCATGCAGCCGATCAGACCGGTGACCTGGCGTTTGGTGTACTCCTACGGGAGAGGGTGGATGGTCAGTGATACTGATAGGGCCGCCCATTGGGATCGAGCTGCAGACACTTCAGTGATACTGATAGGGCCGCCCATTGGGACCGAGCTGCAGACACAGTAGCGGATGGAGAACCGTTGGTTACATATCATCCTCGGGTGAGTGAGAAACACAACGTGAAGCTCTATATTTAGTGCGCTAACTTCAAGGTATGTATCGCTGATCCAACGGCGCTGACCCATTACCTTGTGCTGTCGGATCCAGTCGTCGAGCCCCGACTCGGGCACGTAGTACGCCTTGACGTACGTCTCCACGAGGTTCCGTTCGGGCAGCGGCCGCAGCCGTGTCAGCCGCTCCAGCTTGGTGACAAACTGCTGGTAGTCGAGCTGCATCAGCGCGCGGCCCTCGTTACTGCAGCGGCGAGCAGAGGCGAACCTGGCGCACAGGGGGACGGGTGGCGTAAATTATCACCGATGTAATGGCACAGCGACCTGGGTATTTCATCTCACAATGAAATAGCAGTCGCAGAAAAAGAGTGTCCACCAGTCTGGATTTACTGGATGAACTGGCAACACCAAACTTAAACAGGACGTCATTCACTCTCTTCAGACAATCCGAGTGTAGTCAGATACGGCACCACACGACGCACTCACCCCTCGACGAAGGCGCGGTTTGCGACACGGACGCACTGGTCCCAGAGTGTGTCGTAGACGGGGCGGGGGACGGGCAGCCTCCGGCCCAGCTCCTCCAGACGCATACTAAACACCTGCAGATCCTGTGGGTGACAGCGCAGGCCAGGTCAACGATAGGCGACAACAACCAGGCACCCAACTCGTCCTCACACGTAATACCTGTTTACCGTTTCTACTTCATCCTAATTATTCGTTCAGGGGTGTGAAAGAACTGCGAACCTAATGAAACATGAAGCATCTATGGTAATTGCCATTAAACAAGGCAGTTAACTCACTTATGTCCCGTTCTAGAATGCATTGATTGTCATTTGCACCAAAATGGCCATATTTAAAACGCAGGAGTTGAAACTATATAGCGTTGCATTCACATTTACATGACCAACGAACGCAATTTCAAAACTTCACATCATCACCTCGCCGGCCGTTCTCACCCTGAGCATGAGGTCGACATAGGCGCTGTGCTGGCTGCACAGCTCCTTCACCTCCCAGTTGACATTGGCCATCCGCATCAGTATGACGTCAGAGTCCATCACCCGTGACGTCACCGGAAAGTAGACCGGTCCGCGCACGTCGGCCGCCGCCGCCACCGTCTGATAACAATAGACACGATAAAGAAGAACCGTCTTGTGATCTTTCTATGACTTCTGAGGGTTCACTGAAAAACAATTAATGCACACACCAAAGATTTTCACTATCACCTCATACTCAAGTCAATGTCCCCTATCCAGCCTGATGATAATACGAATATCCGCTAATAATATCAGCGGCGTCTAACTTACTTGGCCGTAGAACTGCTGTACGTAGAGCCGCTTGCTCTGCGGTATGTTTCCCTCCACGTGGCGCCGGATTAGCTCCAGCTGATCTGAAAGGTTCGAGTACGGGTGAGGTACGGAGAAAGGACGGCCGCTCATCACCCAACCGTGTCAGGGCCGGCGCAGCATGAACAAACATCGACGTGCGTGCAAGGTCTTATGCATCGCATGACATCTGGTGACACATTGGTTGTCCCCCTTCACAGGAGGATCGCTGGTATTGGTGGCAGTCCATGATAATGCCGTGGCAAAAGATACCGAGTACAATCATGCAGCACTGGATCACCAAATCACGTCTCAATACATACGACCCTGCGATGAAGACCACCCACCCGCACCGTGTCTGTCTCTTCACGCACCTGCGATGAAGACCACCGACTCGGCGGCCACCAGTCTCGCGGCGAGGCCGTGCAGCCGCTCGGGTCGGTGCAGCTCCACGGCGGGGTTCAGGGAGGCCGGCGGCACGCGCACGGAGCTCCACTGGGTGGACGGGCCGGCCGGAGGAGCCGGGGAGCCGCCCGCTGCCCGGGACGGGTCGGCGCCCACCGCGGACTGGGCAGGGCTCCTCTCGATCAGCTGGTCAGAGATCCGCTGGAGCGCCGACACCAGGCGCGGCGAGCTGCCCACATCGTCCTGGCAAAATATATCACTGTGGTCAGCGCCGTGGTGGGCGGCGGTACCAAGTTTTTGGACGAGGCAACGCGAGGCTACCCGAAGACCTACCGGGGCAACAGCCAATAATTCCCTAAGCCGCCAATTATTTTGGCGGATAAAAGTTTGAAACTTGCCAACCCCTTGTATTATACAAGTTTTCCTCTTATTCATCAAATATAAAACACCAACACGCTGCCATCCTCGTAAGCCTCAATATGATTGCCTTTTTGACTTTTTGAGCTATCGTGGGAATATTGTAGCATTCCTGGTATAATCAAAACTAAGCAAATAGTAGACACAAGGACCATTGAAGATAAAATGAAACAAAAAGCGAACCTGTCCAATCTCTGTATCTTATCTGCTTTTATCATCTGCCTTCATTCCTGGTTCTGTGAACACTGAATACCAGTTGTCTCTTTCCCACAGAGAATTTGCTTCTATGGTACGCAGCACATTCGAGAGACGAGCTGTTTCAGGACATTTTCTAAATGCACCGACAGAAACAGATGCACGTACTGTACAGGTAGAGACATACGCAATTTGTAGTGGTACTTACCGGCGGCGCGAACAGCGAGTACACGGTGTACAAGTAGAAGTCGAACAGCTGACTGAGGCACACCACCACGTCCAGTGCCACGGTACGCAGCAGCGCCATCATGCGCAGGTACCGCCCGCAGAGCCGGAGGACGTGGAGCGCAGTGGAGCTGACGGGCGGCGCCAGGGCCGCGGCCGTGGGCATCCGGCGCGGCGAGCTGGGGATGTCAGACAACGGCCGGACGGTCAGCACTGTGGGCAGGGCCTGCTGTCAGCGGGTTTTGTTTATTTGTTTCGTTTGTTTTGTTGGGTTAGGCCCTTTCGGTCTGACAAAGACCATTTCAGAGCCAGAAGGGCGATAGGAATGATCGGTGAAGCTGGTAGCAAAGGACGATCTCAGGCTGTTTTGTAGGAGCCCACAGAGCTACAGGTGGGCTGTAGCTGTGGGTACCACTGTAGGTGGACACTATCAGAAATGGTATGTTCTGTCGTCTTCCACACCTTGTGAATGACCTGTGCGCCAGGCAGTCTACTGCTGACTTGTTTGACACTTGACAGGAAGGTTGTCTTCAAGGGCGAGGCTCGCGCATATGTTAGCAAATGTTCCCTATGAACTCGTATTTTTAATGTTTGATATGACGCTGTAGTTATGCATAAGGTGATCTCTGACTCCGTCTTTAATTGGGTACCAAACACACAATACACAATACACAGAATTCATAGGCGGCGAAACGGGGAGGGCACCGGGGCACCGTGCCCCCTTGATGTTGTCATTTTAGCATTAACCCTTTTGGCGTTGTATGGAAAGAATGGGACCAAAAGTCGGCAGTGCCCCTTTAATTGAAGGTGTTGCGCCGCCACTGACAGAATTAGGGGGGAGACATTGGTCTGGGCAGACACCCTAGAGAGCCGCCGGGGCTGAGCCCATCCAATTGGACAGGCCGACCAGTCCCCAAGCACTCTCTGCACCCGGCTACGGGTGTGCTCCTTTAGGAACTGCAGTGCGCTCCAATGGGAGCCGCCCGCATGGGATAAAGTTGTCTGTCCAGCCCGGAACAGGGTTGCGGCGTGGAGAAGGATTTCAGTATCCTGAGGACGGGTGTGTTAGCGGGTGGCACAACGGGCATCTTATATCAAATGTGGTGAGAAGAACAAACGCATTTGTTGGTCACTTTGAATATAACATCAGCGGTTTGCCTGTCAGACTGACCTCCGCCATCTCTCAACTCAGCTGACCGCTGTGCTCTGCCGGTGGGGGCCGTCTCTGAACTCACCCGACCGGTTGTGTTCCACCGTCTCTGAACTCACCCGACCGTTGTGTTCCACCGTCTCTGAACTCACCCGACCGGTTGTGTTCCACCGTCTCTGAACTCACCCGACCGTTGTGTTCCACCGTCTCTGAACTCACCCGACCGTTGTGTTCCACCGTCTCTGAACTCACCCGACCGTTGTGTTCCACCGTCTCTGAACTCACCCGACCGTTGTGTTCCACCGTCTCTGAACTCACCCGACCGTTGTGTTCCACCGTCTCTGAACTCACCCGACCGTTGTGTTCCGCCGTCTCTGAACTCACCCGACCGTTGTGTTCCACCGTCTGTGATCTCACCTAACCGCTGTGCTCTGCCGGTGGGGGCCGTCTCCGGGGGCCTCTTCCACCTGCTGCACCTTGAGCTCCTCCGACTCGTCGTCAGAGTCAGAGTCC